TTTTTTTTTTTTTAATTTCTTATTTGTTTTAATGCTTTTTGGAGTGAAATTTTGATATGGTTTCTTAGGTGATTGGAAAATTCTAAATTTCTAATATTTTGTTTTGCGGAAACCGACTTTCTAGTTCGTTTTCTTATTTCTCACCGGAGTTTCTATTCTAGGTTTCTGATGCGGGTAGCTGAATTTGGATCTCTTTTTCATTTCTGTACCTTTTCCACTAAACATTTAATTGAGCTTTCMTGTATGTGTGCGTTTAATCAACAAAACTCAAGGAATATGTGTCCCTTTTAGGAAGGTGGAATAGGATACTATAAGTAGATGGATCTCTATGTTGTTTATTTGTTATTTCTACTGGGCATTCGTGGTTTCTGCAAGTCTGAAAATTTAGTAATTTAACTTGGGAGCTTTCTTAATATTCAGTTCAGGATGGGACTTCTAAACCTCTTAAAATGTTGCCTCAAAGGATGCAACGGTAATCCTGGTTTTATTTGACCTGCCTACCWATTTGGAATTTGGAGTGAGTTTTTCAAGGTAGCTAGAGTTGAAAACTTGATAATTCAAATAGTATAAAAATAAATAAATAAATAAATGATCCAAAGCCCCTTGGTTTTGTGGCTCAGAGTTAGTTGCATGCTTATAAGTCAGACCAATTCAGAATTTCCATTGGCCTATTGCATTATTAGCTAAAATTTGCACAACATAATATTTGAAGGGCCTGAAGATGGATGCTGAATGTTAGAGAAAAAAAATGTATTCAGGGACCTCACCTAACACTTAATTTTTTAGGTTCAATGGTTTCCTTAAGATGGTAGCAAAGCCTGTTTGACTAAGTGCTCTAGTGTTCAATTATCCTCGCTGCCCCTATTATAATGAATTAAGTTTCAGCACAAGGTATGGGTGGACCTATGCTTGCCCATGGTTCAAGCCTGATGGGCTTTCTCGTGAAGGGGCATGTTAGAGAATAAAAACCTATTTAGGGACCTCAACAGTTTAAGCTTTTAGGTTCAATGATGGTTCTTTGAGTTAGGTGAGGTCCCTGAATAGGTTTTTATTTTCCAACATTGAAGGTTTTTTAGCTTGATGGTTGATATCCAATGATTTATATCCATTGAGAGGTCTTACTAGTTAGCACTGAAGCTGTACATGTGTTAGAGCATTGCTGAGTGTTAGACCATTTGATAAACTGACTTTTTGACTTCTGGTGATATGGCCTATACTATATGACCAAGTTCTTCATGATCAAACCATTTTGAGAACCTCGTTGGAACCTCAAGAACTACTTTTGCAGGTTATTTTTCTTCAATTACTTTTGCATAGAGGAATCAGAGATTGACTAGAATGAGATGATAGTTGCTGCTAGGCCAATTCTGTTCTCAAGGGGTTAAAGGGAACATTGTTTTTGGGCTCAGTTGTAAGGCTGAAAATCAAAAGTTGATAGGTGGCAAAGTTTAAATACTAGTGGGGTAGCCGAGGCTACTCAGTTTCTGTACTGTTTCTCAATTTAATTTTCTTAATGAAATTCCCATTACTGATAAAAAATGGTACATTTCTATTATAGACATGAGGATTATCATATGGATATTAAACTTGGAAATGATTCAATTTTTCTTACCATTATGATTTATAGCAGAGTGTTTTCTTTCAACATCTTCCCTTATAAACAAGGTTTAAAGTGTCAGTTCTAAATTTCTAATGGAAATGTTGACTACTTAAATAGGAAATATCTTGGAAATATTGGAAATTTTGTGTATATATTGTTAAAATTTTAGCTCTCTTCCTGTGTAACTCTTAGAACTTTTAGCCTCTGCTTGTACATCTTCTCATATACTCTTTGTCTTTTTAGAATAAAGTTACCCTTTTTCTCAAAAAAAAAAATATAAAAATATCTATTAATATTTTTGAAATTGTAAAAGGACGTACTCTTTTAAGAGTGATAAAAATGGTTGCACCATTTCAAGATGGTCTCTTCCTCCACTTTATCAATTTAAGGATAAGAATTATTTTATAATACATGTTTTTTTGAGACAAGGTAAAGTATAACCTTTCATTAATATGCAAAAGAAAAAGCTGTATGGCAAGAGGCTGTCCAATTGGAATTGTACATGGATTGTTATAGAATAAATGCTGTTGATATTTTAGTTATAAATAGTAATTTATTATGCTTTGTTTATTATAACAAGGTTATGATTTACAAATAAATATGCTTCCTAGGGTATTATATTGTCTTTCCTTTTTATAAGAGTTTAAAAGCATTAAAACATTAGCTGCATTTTATTAATTAGTTATAATTAAAAATATTTTATAGAAGAAAATAAGAAAGAAAGAGTCATCTATAGTAATAAACTTGAAAAAAATACTGGACTTGAAGATGATAGAATCATCATCATCATCCRTGCCTTATGCCAACTATATGGGGTTGGTTACACGAATTCTGRTTTGCCAATCTGTTCTATTTGAAGCCATATTCATTGTTAAAATTTTTAGTGCTTAAATCATTTCTTACTACTTCTACTGATGTCCTTTTTGGTCTACCCCTAGTTCTTCTATCCCCTTCCACTTGTAACAAATCACTTCTTCTAACTGGAGCTGTTGGTGGTCTTCTATGCATGTGACCAAACCATCTTAGTCTACTCTCTCTCATTTTATCACCTATTAAAGCTGCTCTTAGGTTCCGATGGATGACTTCATTCTTGATCCTATCCAAGAAATTATTTCAATGATATCTATCTCCATGTTAATTGAAAGACTTACATTGAATGTAATTGACAGTCATACTTATCACCAAAAAAAAAAAAAAAGTAACTGACAAAGTAAAACTTTGTGAGAAGTACAATATAAAGGTTCTAATGTACTAAGGAATATGTTGAGATATTTTCCAATATTATTTCATGTCATTACCTGTGGAAGTGGAAGTGGAAATATGTCATAGAAATATTAGGAATTATATATATATATATATATATATATATTAAACCATGCTCATAAATTCTTTTTAGTGATATGGGACTGTTCTTTGGGATGCAGAGCTGATTATAATCCAAAAAATGACTTATTGGAGCAAGAATTTACATTACAAGGACAGAGGTTTCACAGAAAAGACCTGCAGGTAGTGGTTGTTTATCTTCTTAAGAATGTCAAGTATTTGCTTTCCTTTGCTTTCATAAATCTTAACATATAAGATTTTCTTTTTCTGTTTTGTTTAAGTAGTACTTAGAATCTCTATGCATCCTCTTCCTCATTTTTTTGTTCATTTTTTCTTCTCACATAACTTGGTTTTGTTAATAATACTAATGATGATTTATTATTATAGCTATATTGTTGTTGTTGTTGTTGTTTTTGTTATTGTTATAATCATCATCATCATCTTCATCATTAAAGCATTCAGGTTTATGTTTTTCTTTTGATAAATAACAGTATTTCATTAATATAAAAAAAACTACACAAAGAGTATCAGGCCGATATGTACAAAGCCAGCATGGCTTGCCTAGTACATATCAGAATTATCAATATACCACATTAAAAACTACAAAGCAATTTGTGGCCCTGCTTTCCCCAATCCAAGAACTCTTTAACTGGTCTAGCTCTAATGCATCATCCAGGATGTTTACATTTCTAGGAATGCACTTGAATGAGTTACTCAAATTCGACCTAGCAGATAGCTCATGGTCTGTCAGAGGTTTTTTGGCCACAATCCTTGTTGGAGGAGTTGGACATTCCTGTCCAGGTGCCCTTGTTGTTGTATGGTAATAAGAAGGCTGGCATCAACATTATACATAAGAGGTAACCCAGTCCAACATGACAGAACTAAGCGTATAGAGGTTGACTGACACTTTATTAGGGAGAAGGTAGTTTCAGGCGATGTCTGTATTCCTTTTGTCAAGACAGACAGCAATGGGCAGATATCTTCACTAAAAGACTTCCTATGACCTCACTACAGTAGACACTTGGCAAGCCGGGTGTGATTGACATCTATGCTCAGCTTGAGGGGGAGTGCAGAAATAAGTGATTCAAAGTGTTCATATGGCCCTAGTATGGGCCTGGTCTTGTTTATTATCATTGTTTTTTTGGTTCTTTTGTTTTTATTGCTGCTGTCTAATTAGGGGCAGATGTCTCTCATTGATACCCACAAACTGTTTTTCTCCCAACCTTCTCTTCTCTTATTCCCTCTTCCCTCTTATTTGCCCCCCTCTCTCTCTCTCTCTCTCTTCTCGCTGTTCTCTTCTTTCTTACAGCACATTAAAGAAACCTGAGGCTGTGATTGACAACTTTAAACCTTTGTTAAAATAAGATAGGTTACTTAAGACCTATTTAGAAACCCAAGCAAGTTCGTTTTCAATCATGTGTAGGTTAAATAGCCAATGTATGTAGGTTAATTGACTTTCATGTCAAATTTGATTATATCATCTCAAGTTTAAAGTGTACATGGTAAAATCCATTGTATTGAGCACATATAAGTTAGATATGGATTAAAGGGAGTAAAATCACTTCTATATGCATAATTTGTGGAAATTTTTCTAAAGAAGATAAATGTTCTTAACATTTATAATATGATTCACAATTTGATTTAATCTTTTATTCAATTTATTTTGGAACTGGATTATCCATATTAACTGAAAGACTGCTAGTAACTGAAGCCATGTTTGGTTCAATTCTCATTCTTTCTCATTCTTACCCAAGATGAAATTCCAAGATGGAAAAAATGAGTAAAAATGGGAAGAATGAGAAAATATTGCTACGAACTAAACGTTTTTTTCCCAAAAAATGATTTTTTTACGGCAAGAATGAGAGTAAAATTTGTAACATGTTTGGTTACAAATTTCATTCTCATTCATTTTTTTTGTTAATCAAAATAATAATATAAGGGTTAGAGGTGTAAAATGTGCCATGCTGGGTCCACGTAAAGTGCGGGTTGTGCCATGCTGTCCTCCCCTGGGATAAGTTGGGGGGTCAGCCCAGCCTATCCCACAGCCCAAGCCTGTGCAGGCCCATGCCGTACTGTGGGCCGGGCAGGCCCGTGGGCCAAGCCTTGGGCCATGGACCAGGCCAAAGCTATTTATTTAAAAAAATTGATATATATATAATTATATAATTTTATAATATATTATATTTATATAAAATATATAATATTATATATATGGATATATATATATATATATATATATATATATATATANATATATATATATATATATATATATATATATATATATATATATATAATATAAACAATATATATGGGTCGTGTTGGGTTGTGCCAACCTGCAGACCCAAAATGGCAAACATAGATCAGGGATTTTATGATAACAAACACTCATTAATCCAATTAAGACCAAAAGACCCTGATTTATGTTTTAGAATCTGCCATTCCCACAACAGGCTTTCATCTACCATTCCCATAATAGAATCTGCCGATTGTTAAAAGTGTATAAACCCATCACAGATTGGATATATTACAGCCATTTTATCACTGAGGGTGAGGGAAACAGCAGAGAGAAGTCATCTATCTCAACTATTTTTGTCTCAAAGTGAAAGTAAGGACCCATCTCTACAAATCCAAGTTTCTGTTTTATGGAATGAGGTCAGCTATGCCTGGTTGTCTGTACTTAATTTCTACTTTTGTCCTTCACCGATGGCTGCAAGAAAATTCCTCTTTTCCATTCAGTCATTTCACCACTATTCAGGAGTTTCTGAATTATTTCCTGTGAAATTTACTTTTCAAACTGAAGAAAATAGCCATCTAAAAGCTAAAACACTTTTAAAGTTTTAAGTCCTAAGCACAAAGCCTAAATTTGGGCTTTAAACTTGAAGGTATTAATTATCTTATTGTTTTTTTTTTTTTAATAAAAAATGGACTCCTTTTTTATATGTCAACTGGGTCCTTCCAATGGGTCAGTATGAAACCAGTTGATAAATGATTAGTTTGGCTTAATTTTGCCATTTTCTGTTGACCCATGTGATTTATCCAAAAACCCTGCTTAGGGATTAGACTGACGACGATGGATACTAGTTGATGACTGGACTGAATCTGGTTGGAATTTTCCTACCCAAACCTAACTCTGACCTAATTGCAGTAGCAAAGATATGAGAGATAACCAAACCCCATCATTCAACCTCTTAAAAACAAGATTAAATTTGAAAGAAAATCATTTGGCTTTGGCATATTCAGAGCAGGCCCATTTGCACCAAAATTCCATTTCCATATCAGTCAACAATAGTACAATTGAGCATGGGATGATCCCATAAGCGCAAATATGCCAACTAAGGGGCAATTACTAGTATCCTCAACTTAGTGGGTCACCTTTATAACAAGCATTGGGTGTTACACATTCGGCATCTTTTGTTGCATCCATCCATCATGAACCAATAGTGCACACTTCAAACTTATCCTAAGGTCTTTAATTTTAACCTTTTGTGTCACTCGAACTTCTCTTATTGAAATTCATTGCGAGTGGTTTGACGTGAGAATTGAACTTCTTTGTCTTCTCTTCAGAATTACTAAAATGGTTAACTTTTGGATTTCTTTTTATCTACCAACCTAGTAAGCTACCTAGTTAGCTTAAGTTAACAAGAGTGGGTTAGACTTAGACAGATCAGTGCCATTACCCATGGTGATCATCAGCTTGTGGCAGGAAGACCTAAATGTATATACTGATAAAAAAAAGACCTAAATGTATATAAAAGACCAAGCATAAACTTAATATTCATGTAAACTAGGGACCCACAATAAGGAGAATCATTGACCACCATTCTTTTTTTCTAGTTAACATGGAGTTTGTTTCAGAAGACAGAAATAAATAGATAAATGAAAAGAAAAAAAAAGAAATATATAAAAGCCACAGAGTCATGACTGTGGTTTACCTCGTACAGAGAGAGAGAGAGGGACGAGGGTTTACCTCTCGTACAGAGAGAGATGGATGAGGATTTACCTTCTACACAGAGAGAGAGAGGAGCAAGGCCCTTGTACAGAGAGCGAGGGTTCAGTGAAAGTCGAGAGGACTCGAGCTACTTGAGCTTGAACAAAAAAAAAAAAAAAGAATTGGTAGGGCACGAAAAATTTTCGTGCCACAAATTTTTGCCGAAGCCCAAATTTCATTCTGCGAAGAATGAGTTCTGCGGCAAGAAATGAATATCCAAATACCTGTATCTCATTCATTCTTGCCCATTCTTTTCCAGAATCAGAAAGAATTAAAAGAATGAGGCTACGGAAAACGTACCAAACATGGCCTGAGTTGATGATTGAATTGTTCCTTGGGATTTTTATTAGTATCTATTTCTGATGGGTTCAACAGTTGGGGGTTGTGGAAGAATGTTGACTTCATGCTGAAGGGCAAGAGAAATTAGAGGAAAATGCTATCTAAGTAAAGATATGAGTAAAAGATTGTATTCATACCATTCTTTTATCAAGATTAATAAAGCTTCAATTGCTAACAATAAAAATAGAAAAAAGGGACGTGAAAAATCCAGTGGACAGTAAGACCTTGTTACAATTTCTAGGAACCTGTCTTTGGTTGAAAAAAGCTCTTTATATGCAAAGCTATTTAGATTAGTTTTACCCAAAACTATGATAGTCAATGTATCAAGCTGACTTTATTGAATATCCTTATCCATACCTTAGTCGAATGTTGAACCTTCTGTGTGTGTGTGTGTGTATGTGTGTACTTAAAGGTTTCAAGTGAACCTATCTTAAACTAGATGGATTTTAAAATGCTGCAGGTTACTAACAGTCGGGGAAATGTTCTTCAGTGTAGCCATTATGTGCCTGATGTTATTCCTGAAGGAAAGGCGCTTCCATGTGTGATATACTGCCATGGAAATAGGTCAGTATCATATGTTTTAAGGCCTTTCATGCTGGCATTAGATGTTTTCCCATGTACATTTAGAACATTTAAACAATGAGTTTACCATATAACATATACAAATCTGAGGTCCATGTTGGTTAGGCCAAATGGTAATTTTTAAATGTATAGATTTTCTCCCATTTGTCTATATGCTAGATTAGTAGGAAACTAGGAACTATGAAGTATAAACTGGCTCCCACTATTTAGGAAAAAAATAATGATTTGTCTTGTTAGGATCCTCCTAATTTGAAAGTATTTTTAGGGATTGTTTTGCTTGGGAAAGTGAATGCATGTGATTTGCTCTAGAGAAAACACGAAGGTTACAAGATCCTATCTTCTCATTTATGCTCATGGTGCAAGTTGGAAAAAGGAATCTTCTGATCACTTATTCCTGCATTTTGTTTTTCTTCCCAGCTTGGCATTGTCTGGTGCCATGTGAAATGGGAACCCTCTCTGTTTACTTTGCATAGCATTTGGACCCACACTGTGCTCTCCTGAAATGGATATCATTTTTTTGATAAGTAACAAGATCAAAAGAGTCTGCCAATGGAGGGGTAAGATAAAAGTATACTTTCTAATTAGGAATGTAATTTATGCAGTTGAGCATTTTTAAAATTTGAAGGGATCTGGCCTGAGGGCCTTGACCCAACTCAGCATAAATTCTTCAAATTGGGTACCTGACTTGCACAGTTGCATCCCTATTCCTGATCCTCAACAGACTGTGGGAAAGGAAGGTAAAGGCATGGAATCCAATACACACATCATCAATAACAAAAATGCAATATGATGGAACAACTAGTCCGGGTTAGTGCCCCCAACCAAATAAAAATAGAAACAAGAAATAAGTGCAATGTATTCTTTCTGACTCCTCTGGTTAGACTATTGTTGTGGGGGTTCATCAACCTAGGAATCCATTTAAAACCAGCTCTTTATTCTGGATGCCAAAGTTTTGGCCTCCCTAATTGAAGGGTGGCCTAATGCACGAGGCTTCCGTCAATGTGGAGTCTGGGAGGGACAGATGTACACAGCCTTACCCCTGCAGATACACAGAGAGGCTGTTTCTCCAAGATTTGAACCCTGGTCACCCAGGTCACAATGGAAAAACCCAATTGTTGTGCCAAGGCCCATCCTAATTAAATACAGTAAATGTAATGGAGCATTAGACAACACAAGTATGCAACCTATGACAACTGGAGAGTCACCCTCAATATCAACTCTGTGCAAACCCAATCAGAGCCCAGTCTATGCCCCTGTAGAAGTGCTATAGTCTCTACTATATGGACTCCCCATTGTAAATAGGAACTAAGAAAGCCACAATCACCTCCTCACTCCTGCTCCTATAAGCTCCCTTCACTTTGGGTGGGCCCAGTTTACATAAAAATAGCTGTCATAGTTAAGCTTCATTTGTCTATAGGAGAGCAGGGGGAGGTCTTGCTGAATAGACTGTCTATGAGGAGAGAATCTGGTACTTCATCAAGAAATTCACACTTGTGGGGTGCTTTAAAAGAGAATGCCAAATTTCTGTCTTTCACCTCATAAATACTTAATTTGTAGATGATAAGCTGATTCATCACATTCAGAACAGAGCAAACACACATAAGGTGAAAGGCAGCAGGAAAGTCTCCTCCTTTGAACCATCTCACAAGTATTAAGTTTGCAATGGAAAGTTTCCCAAGAGAAGGCCCTAATCATTAGAGGGACAGGTCTAAGCCCCAAGGATTTACAAGGATTTCTCTGGGAGTTTGATGTAGAGCGCAAGGCTTTAGATAGTGAAGAATAGGTCTACAAGCCATGAGAGGCTATTATATTGTTATCTGATAGGTGGGGACAGATAGTTTTAATGGGCCATGGAGATTTTGTCATCATTTGATGAGGAGAGATCACTCATCACTGTCAGGCCCGTATCAATCACTCCCAGATTTAATGGGTTCGTCCCAGCAGGCTTGGAACTGTAAGTCCAGCGAAAGAGTGACTATTCATCTTTTGTTAAAATGCTTCCTAGATGGGTCGTCAGTGGATGTTAGCTGATATTGATTCTCATATTCTGGACTAGCTATTGGTACATCCTGAATTTCAAGATGTATCTTGATCTTCATTTGGGGTTGATCTTTGATAAGTGCTAGAAATTGCTGAAGATGGGACTTTTTAGTGTTTTATTTGTCTATTGTATTGTTGGGGTTGTTATTTTGTCTATTTTTCTCTACTTGATGTAGATTGTAATCATTTTCATTTTAATAATTTTTTTTTTTTTTGTTTAGCATCAAAAAGGGAAAGCTCAGTGAATATTGGGTTTTGTAATGAGTGAGATAGGATGAGAAGGGTTCTTATGTTGTATTAAAGTCATTTTAGTTCCCCATGTAACACATTAAAATGTTGTCCATTTTATTTATCTTCTTCAGCTTGTATTGCTGGGAATTGTGTTGAGTGTTTTCTCAAAAATCAAGTACAAGGCTTGGCTAAGTTGAGTGGTTCCTTGATTAAAGGTGCAAAATCTGTTTATCCTTATTTTCATGCAGGACCTTCTTATCTTACATCAAGAGGAATGACTTGTACTGGGATTGTGCTGCCACTTTCAGCATCTCTTTGGTATTTTTCTATTTTTTACATAATGGCCCCCTTTCTTGACTAGGGGCCTGTGCAGCCCTTGATCCTTTTTATTGGAGCTGAAGGGCTTTGTATACTTCTTGTTGTAATTGATAAACAAAAGCTTTACTGAAAAATGAGTATATGATGGTGAAAGCATCTCAGTAGAGGGGAAAAGATCCAAGAGCAATGGGAAAAAAGGTGCTGAATCCTGATAACCCTTTATATAGAAAATCATTCTGGACTATCACCTGATTGCACCACGTCTAGTCTTTAGGGTCCTGAGAAGTACCTTGTAGTATCCACTATGTGGCATAGTTGTAAATCAAAACAATGTGTATTCAAGAAGTCCCCAGAGTCTTGCATTCATAAATGGTGTATTTTGGTCATCTTTTCGTTAGATCTAAGGGTTAGTCTTTGGAAATATATGGTCCTCACTATTTGAAAAGAACTTCTAAAGCTACATGTTCTTTAATTATATCAATATTTAAAATCTACTTATAGTTTTCCTTTCTTCCTCTATTAAGTTGCATCTCTCATGGATCCTAAGCCGCTTATCATCTAAACAAATGTCAGCCTCCTATGTTAAATTTGTTTACTGACTTGCAACATATGTTGCTTTTTCTCAGTGGTTGCAGAGCAGATGCCAGTGAAGCTGCTATAATTTTGCTTCCCTCATGTATTACAGTTTTCACCCTTGACTTTTCAGGATCTGGACTCTCAGAAGGAGAGCATGTCACTCTGGGATGGAATGAAGTGCGTGCTAAGTTCCACCCTCTTTCCAATCTATCCCCATTTTAAAACATGATTTTTTTTCCAAACAACTACTCATTATTTCTCTCTACTGTAAATAGATAATTTAATGATCTCCTTCCCTTATTTTTTAATGTAATCTGACATATTTTCCAGAAGGATGATCTGAAGGCTGTGGTCAATTATTTGCGTTCAGAAGGGAATGTATCTTGTATTGGTCTGTGGGGTCGTTCGATGGGTGCTGTAACCAGGTTTTTTGCTTGCCATTCATCACCCATGCATGCAAAAAAATTTAGAATGTAGTGTCTTTTAGTTCACATCAATTTTTGTGTTGCTGATAAAAAAAAAAGGTTAACTAGCAAGGTAAAACCTCAGGTGATGAGGCATCATTGAGAGAAAGTCCAGTAAACAGTACTCCACCTCACAAACCTATCAATACGCCTTCTCAGACCTAATAATGTCCAAAAGAAACCTATAGAAAGTGCAAGAAAAACCTTTGTTTCCTCTTCCCCTACCACCAAAAATCCCATCACAAAACTTTCAAAAAAAAAAAAAAGTTCCCATCACAAGAAAATGCTAATTCTCAGACATGAAGCACAAATTTCCCTCTAAATACCAATCAAACCCTAAAAGTTTCCAATCCAAACGAAAATCCAATCCCATCTTGCAAATCTAATTCTGCACTTTTAATGTCATATCCCACCATTATAAATTCGAATTAATCCCGCTTCAAAATATCGATACACCCTGATACAGCGGAAGGGGTGTATCAGTACTTTGAACCTTCTGCCTTGTATATATGTATGTATGTATGTTTTTTTTTTTCCTTCAAAATTTAAAGGAGGGATGAAAATAATATATAAATGTTTAAAACAAACGCTTTTTAAAAAAATCTTGAAAACAACATATTGGTACCCTGCCGATATGGGCTGATTGCGAAATTTTGATCCTCTTGATCCCCTTTTCTCCTCAAAAAGTTCCACCCTCTTTCCAATCCATCCTCATGTGAAATTTCTCTCCAACTTACTTGATGGACTTTGTAGTAGCCAGATTTTAGGCTCTTTAGTTTCTCCTTTCTAGTTCCATTGTCACTTTTCTGGCACAATCTTCACCTTCTAAGAATAAAAACCATAATTTCTTTCCTACCTCGATTTCTTTGTCAATTACTCTATCAAGAAAAACTTTCTTGTCTACCTTAAATGCTTGATCAACTGATACAACATCATCTCCAACCTCCTACCCCCGATTTCAACCTTCTACAGCAATAGAAGATGCAGGAGATCAATTTCTGGAGAGACTAAAGCATCTCAAAGTTACTAAAACATATAAAAGGAGGAACCAATTATGCACCCGGATATGCAAATTGACAGTTTCTAAATTGTTGGTTTCTATTTTTATGTTTTAAAGCCAGCTTTCATTAGTGAGTTTCCTTGTTTTTTCTAGAAGGTCTATAATGATTAGTTTCCTATTTTGTTTAGGAAACTATTAATTAGAATCAACTACTATTTTTGTTCGGTATCTATTTTATAGGTTTCTTATTTACTAGGTGCCTATTTTCTAATTTCCTTTTTTGGGTTTCTAATTTTTGAACTTCTGTTTTTTAGTTTCTCTTTTCTAGGCAGTTCCTATAGGAGCCAATTGCTTGGTATAATGGTAAAATCTTGGGCTGACAAGCATGAGAAGACAGGTTCAAATCTGAGAATAACCACTTAATGTAAGAAAGCCAAAGGGTGCCCCCTCCCCACCCCCAAAGATTGGCCTTTTGGGGGGCCATTGCTCCATGTAATGGTAAAATCTTGGGCCGACAAGCATGAGAGTGAGGTTTGAGTCCAAGATTGGCCTTAGAACTTTATCAAGTCCACCCCTCCCAAAACCCTAGATAGCCGGGGTTGATATTGTGTAATGACCTTTTTCTATGCATTTTTCCTAGTTTCTTTTTCTGTTGGTGCTGCTCTACTTAGTAGGTAAGGAGCCTATAAAAAGATGTCAAGGCTGGGCATAGAGGTTAGATCTTGATGAGAAATAAAGTATTCTTCTGTTTTGTGTTTCATTATTCTTCCCTTTCTAGGTTTGATCTTTGGGATGAAACCCACCAATGATCTTTCAATCTTCAATATTATTTCACAAAGACACATTTCAGTCCCTGAGTTTGCCCACTAACCCAAGGCTGAACAGTGTTTGTAAACTAAAGTCTTCTGCGTTACTCTGTCTCCAAAACCTTGTTATTCACATCTTCAATCTCTATCCAATATGTCAATTAAGTCAATAATAGGTTGAGTTCCATATTCATATCTTCAATCTCTACAAGGATGTAACCTCTCAAAAATAGGCTACATCCTTGTAGGGGAGAAAATCAGTTTTTGGACATTGCAAGTCCATGGTTGTTGCTATGAACCAAATGTGGGTTGATACCTTGTAGTGTAACTGTATTTACTAGTCAGTTCCTAAATAGGGACTTTACTGTTATTTGCCTCCCTTTGGTGCCTCTTTGTAATTACATAAACTTCACATAGTAATGCATATAAATTTGAATATTTAGGGCTGTCAAAAGATTGAGACACCTTCAAATGTGTACCTATCCTTTTTCTTTCTTGGATGCCAACTGGGAGAGGTAGATGGTTTTTCTTGTAAACCAATTACAGAAACTACTTTTTACATGCGTCAATGAAGAAGGAATAGGATTGCTCATGCATTATCAATAGAATGCATGATTAGCAAGTATCCACCTCAGGAAAGTCATACTCTTGTATATCTTTGTCACTGACATTTCTATGTTTTTATTTATATAAATAATATCTTTAAGTGTCTACTTCCCTGTTTCATTTTTTATTATATTAAATTATCTTATGATGTAAATACTGCCATACCAAGGTTTATCTATTAAGATTCTTCTTTAACTGTAAACATGTACAACTTTTGGTGTTTTGTTAATCTCCTTTCTCTATCTCCTAGATTCATAAATACATACATATGCACAAATATACATGTATATGTGTATATGTATATATACATGCCTGTTACATCCATTTCAGCTTCTAGTAGTATGCTGGGTGTTTCTTCTGTTTTTTAACTTTTAATCTTGTATATTGTCACTCACAGCTTAATGTATGGAGCTGAGGATCCATCCATTGCAGGAATGGTCCTTGACAGCCCATTTTCTGATTTGGTTGACCTGATGATGGAACTAGTGGATACTTACAAATTCCGTCTGCCCAAGTTTACTGTAAGTAAATATTATCTTCGAGAAGCTTTTGAATGATATATATTGTAATAGCAACTTCATTTATTTATTTTCTCTGTAAAAGTTTTTATATTTTTATCTATTTTCTTCAGTAAACATTTTTTTTGATCAATAACAGTGAATTTTATTAACCTTAGTGGATGGGTTAGCTAAGCAAGGGGCCTCAAGGGAACATTTATTTTGGGCTGCTTTGTAATTTTAGTTCTGGTTAATTCTGGTCAATTCTGCTTTAGTTTGATGTAATATTTGTTAGAAGAAGTAACAACTCATGCCTCCTCTTAGGTCTACTGTATTGCCTCATATTTCTGTTTTAATAAATTATATTCATTCATAAAAAAAAACAGTGAATTTTATTAAAGTATTGAAAATTACAAAGCAAAGGAGCTAAACAATCTTAACTTTCGAATACAACCAATGTACACCCAAAATGAAAAGCAATTACAGCACAGCTCAAAACATAGAGTTTCTGTTCACCCCTTGTCTAGCTAGACCATCTGCCAATGAATGTGCACTTCTCTTTGCCCATGTACATTGAATTTTAATGTCCTTAGTCAGCCACTTAAATTTCATCTTTTCATTGCTGTAATTCCAGAGCCTAGAGTTGTCCTCTTTTAGCCAGTTCACCACAATTTCAAAATCTCCTTCTATGATCAATTTATTAATATTCATGTCCTTGACCCTTTGTACCCCTTCAAGGGCTGCTAGTATCTCAGCCCTCAAATAATCTCCCACCCCAACTGGACCAGAATACATTGCTAACAGATTCCCCTTTTCATCTCTTATCACTCCCCCTATTCCGGACGGCCCTGGATTGCCCATACTACTGCCATCGAAATTCAGTTTAGTAAAACCATGAGGTGGAGGGGTCTAGTAGGAACTTGAAGCCTTTTTAGCTGAAGCTGATTCTGCAATCTTCTTCCAATTCCTTATCAACTCATCAACTGAGAAATCTGCAAACAAGTCCAAAGTTTTCAACCAATGTATCACCCTAATATGAATAACCTCCAAAATTACTTCCAAGTTTCTCTCCTTATCTGAAAAAAATCTGTGAATTTCTCTCCTAAACAGTCCAACAAACTGCAGCCCTAACACATCTCCACATAGTCTTAGCCCTTTTTGTTGACTAGTTAGGCATGGAAGTGAATAAGCTTTGCACATTCAAGGGGAGAGTCCACCTGCACCCAGAGAAGTAAGCCATTCCCAAATAACTTTAGCAAACTGACAGGAAATTGGTAAATGGTATCTAGACTCACTATCAGATTTACAGAGGATACGCCAGTGAGGAGACAAATAGCTATTAGGTCTTTTTCTTTGAAGTAAATTACCTATATTAACTCTTTCCAGAAAGGCTTCCCAACAAAAACTCCCAACCTTTGGAGGTATAGGTTGACACCACACCTCTTTAACAAGAAAGGCCAGTCCAACAGAAGAAGGTTGTATTAGGGCTTTAAAGAAAGAGACACAGGTGAAGGGACCCGAGGGAGTGAGTGTCCAAATTCTACTGTCTGCCTTTGTTCGCTTTAGGAAGACCCCTTCAAGGATGGATAACAAGGATAAAGTACAGCCTAACTCTGTCTCCCTGATGTCTCTTCTCAAACCTAAGTTCCAGCTGAACCCAGAAGTTGAGTTGGAAGGTACGAGGAAGGAGACCGATTCATTTTTAAGGGTAGAGATAGCAAAAAGAGTCGGAAATTGTCTTTTAAAGAAGTATCCCCAACCCAAACATGTTCCCAAAATTTAATGAGGTTGCTTGAGTGCAAATCATACTTGATGTAGGGAGAGAATAAGGGAAAAATAGCTTGAATGGCTTTCCAGGGAGATGCTCTTGTAGTCCTTGCCAGAATCCTAGAGTCCCATCCATTGTCTGCAACCCCATGAATACTACCCACTATCTTAACCCAAACTTTTTCTTTCTCTAATGAGAATCTCCACAGCCATTTCCCTAATAGTGCCAAGTTCCTATTCCTTATGTTCCCAATACCTAGGCCTCCCTCCTCCTTACTCCTACACACCACCTCCCACTTAACCCTATGGTCCTTCTCCTCCCCCGACTCCTAGAGAAAATCTTTCATTAGTTTTTCCAGCTTGCTAGCCACTCTAGCCGAAATCTTAAAGATTGACAAAAAATAGACAGGAAGGTTAGCTAAGGTAGGCCTAATTAGAGTGGTTCTCCCTCCAAGAGACAAATAATTTTTCTTTCAATCGGCAAGCCTCTTTTCAAACCTCTCCACAACCGGAGCCCAAAACTCGCCTTTTTGGGGATTATCTCCCAATGGCAAACCAAGGTAGTTAAAGGGCCAATTAGCTACTGCACACTCAAATATCTCCCCCTCCCCCATGTTAACTCCAACTATACAACTTTTCTCAAAATTCACTTTGAGGTTTGACATTTGCTCAAAGAGTTGTATAGTGAACTTCAGGTTTCTGATCCTATTGATATCACCTCCTTCACAAAAGAGTATTGTGTCATTTGCAAATTGCAACTGTGTGAGTGGTATGTTCTCCCTTCCAACTCTCCATCCTCTTATTAAATCCCTGGAGTATGCTCTGGAAATTAGTCTCCCCAACACTTCTGCAACCAAAGTAAATAAAAAAGGGGAGAGGGGGTCTCCATGTCTAATCCCTCTCAAAGCTGGAAAGAAATTCACCACTGTCCCATTCACCAAGATGGAGTAATGGCAATTCCTAATGCAGCCCACTATCCACTTTCACCAATTATCTCCAAACCCAAAATTGATCATCACCTCCAATAGGAAAGACCAATCAACCAAGTCATAAGCCTTTTCCAAATCCAATTTGCAAGCCACCCCTTTTTTCTTGGATCTCTTGAAATCCTCCAAGCTCTCATTTGCTATAAGTATCTGATCTGTTATCTGCCTCCCCTTCACAAAAGCTCCTTGGTTGTTTGCTATGATTGTTGGGAGCACCTTTCTAATTCTAAAGGACAACACCTTAGTGATGATCTTATAGAGGCTGTTAACTAGGTTGATCGGCCTATAGTCCTTCGGATGGTTTGTATTTCTTTTCTTGGGTACCAAGGCAATGAATGTGGAATTTAACCCATGGTTAATCACTCCTCTAGTATTGGAATTCATCAAATACCAGCCTTAGATCATCTTTTAACATCTCCCAACAATTCTAATAAAAAATCATCGTAAAACCATTTGGGCCTGGTGCTTTTGATCTATCCATAGAAAACACCACCTCCTTTATCTCTTCCAAGTCAAATTTCCTTTCCAGCCACTCCCTGTCTTCTAGCTTCAATGTTGGCCATTCCAACCCCTCAATCCACACCCTATTGTTTAGGGGTCTTCTAAATATAGACCTAAAATGATCTGCAAATGCCCTTGCAATCTCTCTTTGATTGGAAATTGTTACCCCTTCAATCTCCAGACTTGAGATAATTTTTTTTCTCCTTCTTCCACTTGCCACAACATGAAAAAACGTGGTATTCCTATCCCCCTCTTTCAGCCAATTGCATCTTGACTTTTGCCTCCAACTTATTTCCTCTTGAAGAAGCCAGTCCTCTAACTGTTTGCGCAATTTCCATCTTTGTTCCTTATCCTCTTTTGTAAGGCAACCCCTTTCTTCTTTGCTATCCAGGATTTATTTTCTTCCGTAAACATGCAAAACTGCTTGCTTTCCGTATGCAGACTGCATTTCAAACTTATACCAGTATTATTTCCGTGTCAAATATAAGAAATAGTTGGATAGGTAGGGACTAAGGAACTAACTGGATCAACCTATGGGGTAAGTGGCTGGAGCTGATACCTGGACATGGATACTGATACAGACACACATATGGGAAATGGTATAGAACACCCCATTTCCTAAAATCCCAGACAAGTGTACCGGGACAGGTATCCTATATAATATGTTTATATCATGCCTTTGTATCTAGTTTTTGAAGTTAAATATTATTTCTCAAGGCTCATGTCTTGCTAAATTTAATTAAATTTCCAACATATACAAATAACTCAGAGTATATCTTGAAGTGTCTATGCAATATATGGTGTTGTATGAGGTGGGTATTGTGTCCAATAGCAGTATGCTAAGCATGTACAATTATCCGTGTAAAATAGGGTAGTTTCTTTTAGGGTGGAGAAGGGCCTTGAAGACAGGTGGCAATAGGCAGAAGGTCTGCCTGCTTGGGATCATACCAATCTTGGAGTTATAGGGCTAGTGAAAAATCTGGTTTTGCTGCATTTGGATCATTTCAACCAATTCCAGTCGTATGGCATACATGTATATGTATATACTTTCAGATGTTCCCCATAATTAATTTTTGGTGTGGGAAGAGATGTTTGTCTATGTTGTGTGTTGTGCACTTGTCTACTTCCCAATATGTTTTCACTTTTTGCCTTCACATTAATACATTGATATATCTACCTCTCTCAAGCAAAAAAAAAAAAAAAAAGTACCCCCATCCTTTATCACCAAAAAAGAAGAAACAGAAATGTATATGTTCACTTTGTCAACAACTATAAATTTTATGAGAGAATAGGTAAATGTATTCAATATTGAAAATCATAATCATATCATAAATTGTAGAGAATGTTGAACTGAATAAAATCGTGAACTGTATTGTAAACAATGAGATTATTTATGTTTTTTACAAACTTGTCAAAAATTTAAAAATAGATATACTAAAAATCTAATATGTATAGAAAAATGATTTTAGGATTATTTTTTTTGATGAATGATAATAAATTTATTAATTCAGAAGCAGATTTAGAGTGAGTTCATACAACATCCCAGGGAGAGGCGCGAGCTGCAGCCCCTCCTTGAATCTTACAAGTAAACTAGGAAAGAAAAGCAAGAATCACAACTGAGCCCAAAACAATTCTTTTGTTAGTTTAGGATTATGGACTTTTGCTCCATTGATATATTAAGCTTGTTGTTGATCTATATATATGAAGTACCCTTAAAACTTTAACATTAAGACCCTTCTTTTGACCATGATAACTCCTTTTTCCCTTTTGTGTTGTTCTAGGTGAAATTAGCAATCCAATATATGAGGAAAGTCATCCAGAAAAAGGCGAAGTTTGACATTATGGACCTTAACACTATTAAGGTTTTATTTTACTCTTTCCTATAACTTTATTAGGTTTTGGTTAAATTTATATCTGATTACGTTTGAGCAATGTGTATGTATACTCTGAATTCATTGTGAAACATATATAGATTGTTTCAGATATTTCAGATCTGTCACACACTTCATTATTGATATGAACATGAGAGCATTTTATGTTCATAGGCAAAACCTGCTAGCAAAATCAATATATTCACGCTCTTCCACGGAAATTATTTTTGTGCTTGAGCCCAGTATATCCACAAAAAATTAGAAATAGCTTCTTATGCATGCTTTCAGACTGATTAAACTAAGTTGAACATACATGACACTCAGAAGAAAGATGGAGGAGCATGGATTTCTACCAGTGACCAGATGGAGGAAGAACCTTAAGTTTGAAGTAAAAACATGTGTTCAAGGAGATCTGTACAAGAGGGATAACTCTGAAGATTTGGAAACTGAAGAAAGCAATGGTGATTCTAGTCGGAAATATGGCTTTGTGATTTCAAGGAATATTGGAAGGAGTGCAATATACCCAATACTCCTGTTAATGGAAGAATGTGGTGAATGAAGACAGAAAATACATGGTAGACAGAAAAGAGTAGTAAAAGGAGATTTGTAGGATTAACTGAAAGCTTTGGAGGGAAGAAGAAGCATGTCTGCTTTCTCATATCATTTTCTTAATAAAATCACTTTTACTGATAAAAAAAAAGAAGCATGTCTGCTTCCTGGAATGGAGGAGAGCTACAGGGTGGATGCTGGTGTCCAATGTGAAATTGTGAATTAAGAGTTTCTGGTTTATGGTGGAGAACTGAAGAAGAATGGAGGGGTACAGAATTAGAGGTGCACCAGGAACAAAGGAAGAAAATGGAATTGAGTGGTGAAAAACCCTAGAAGTAGGTGGCCACAACCTGCAACTGACGAGCAAGACGGAGAAGACGAAGCAAAGGTTTTTAAAGACAACATTAACAAAGGAAGGATTGCCATTAGTAGAAGGGTGGAATCCATATTTTTTTGGTAGTAAATAAAAAAGAAAGTTCTCTAAAGAAAAAAGAGTACATCAAGAAATACAAGAAGGTGAAGAGAGATCACCAATAACTGGAAATAAAAAAACAGCTCTCTCCAACTATTACAACAATACAGACATGCTAACCAGAGATCCCATCCCATTCAATTTTTTTTTTCACAAAACTTTGCTTCAAAAGAGTTTCTTGATACATCTATGAATTCTGGTAGTATTAATACCCAATCAATAAGCTTTGAGCCAATCTTTGAACATATCTCCAACCTATCACAAGCTTTTCCTTCAAAGGCCCTTCTATTCCTTTCTTTCCATAGTTCCCAACAAACAGCAAAAGGAATACAGCTCCAGACGATTTTAGCATTTTTTACTTCCTTGCAAAGTAGGCCAGTGCACAAAGGTTACTCTAGGTGATCTTGGAGACCAGATGACTTTATCAAAGAGATGGAAGAAGAAGCGTCAAACAAAAGATGAAAACTTACGTACGTAACAAATGTGAAGAACATCCTCTTCCTTTGACTCTCAAGTCTCAATGAGCACATCTACTGGCTAGTTGGAGGCCTTTTCTCTTGATATGATCTTGTGTTAGGATGCTATCTAGAGAAACCAGCCAAGCAAAAACTTCCACTCTTGTAGAAAGGTGGAGTCTATCATGCAACTTGAAATCAAGACATGGAGGGGGTGATAAAATGTTTGGTCTGCCCTTTCATTTATGGTAAGAAAATTTGCTTATAAAAATAGCTTCCTTGTGTGGTGGTGTGGTTGTGAGCTATGAAGAAGTAGCCTTTATTTGGCACATGTTCAAGTAGCAAGTTTGAAATCAGAAATGATTCCCCTAATGGTTGAGCTCCACTTTGGCAGTTGAGTTTTCTAGGTGTGGATTGTTTCATCCCTTTCTTAAATTGCAATGGTGGTGATGTGGACAGAAAGACAAATTACATGCAGTACCTCAAGTATACAGCAATAAGCACAAGAAATACCAAGCTGAAAACAACAAAATAAGTTGAATTTTTAGGGATTTCAGACCTGAACTTGAAGTAAAACTCCTCCTGGAACAGTTCTGCTACAGTAACAATGGCAGCAAGCTGGCCTCCTGTGCGGACACGCAACGATGGAGGGATTGGAAGGTGCCAAAATGGGTCGACTCAAAACCCGAGCTCCCAATACTTGAAAACCCTAGCTGGGGCTGAGTTACAACTCAAACAAGAGAGAAAGAACCAAAAGACCCTTATAGAAACAACCCCCTTCTCTTTTATAAGACCCACTGGCTTGCTGGACAAGCCAGTTAAAATATTTACACACAAGCCCCTAGAATATTTTCCTCTCACAAGCAACTCCTTAAGAACAAAACTAACTTCAAATGAGCCTTCAAAAGATAACTTTTGTTACAAAAAGACCGAAGAGACCAAAACCCTACAGAAATGCACCCAATTGTCCCTGACCAGAAACCTGACTTATAAAATGACGAAAATACCCCTGGTCCCAAACTGCCAACAAAGCTACCCAAAGACAACAATTTGGGACCCCACTACAAAAAATATGCAAAACAGAATACATTCACACTTTTTTTTTTGCCTCATCATTCCCACCGGGTTTAAAGGAGCTCGACCCCATGCGAGCAGCAATTTTAGTAGCCTTGCACATGTTTTAACTTCATAAACTCCTCTTCACTAATCCAGGAGTTCTCAATTGATGGTTTCCCTTTCCATTTGACCAAGAGCCTAAAATAGGCCCCATTTCGAGTGTTGGTGACTCGAACATCTTCTACACCCTTTACTTGTTCAAACTCATTAGAACTACTGGCCCTTTGTGCTTGTCCTCACCCATCCTTTGTTACTGGTTCTAGATCTCCATGTTAATCAAAGAGGTCTGCTACATTAAAAATGGGTGAAATGGACACATCAGTTGGTAGCTCAATTTCATATGCATTGTCACCAAACCGTCTCAGCACTTAACATTGACCAATCTTTTCTCTTTCAACTTATGGTAGGTCCCAACGGGAAACCTCTCAGGCTGCAAATAAACCATGACTAGATCGCCCTCATGAAACTCTTTCATCTGGCGATGCTTATCCTTAGCTTCTTTATACCTTTGGTTGCTTTCTTTCAGCTTCTATCATACATTCTCTTGAATCTATCGAATGGATTCAGCTAAAGCTTTAGCATCATCACTCACTCGCTGCAACTCTGTTATAGGAGCTAGATCAACAACACTTTTAGGTGACCGATCGTGCACAACCTCAAAAGGAGTCTTCTCTGTAGATCTATTAACTGAATCATTGAAGGCAAATTCAGCTTGTGGTAGGATAAGATCCCATTGCTTTAAGTAGTCTCCAACTAGGTTCCTCAACAAGTTGCCTAAGCTTCGGTTAACCACTTCAATTTGTCCATCTATTTGTGGGTGAAATGTACTTCTATATTGTAGGGTAGTACCCATACGCTTCCATAAAGTTCTCCAGAAGTGGCTAAGGAATCTCGTGTCACGATCTGATGTAATAGATCTTGGCAATCCATGCAACCAAACAACTTCTTTGAAAAACAAGTTAGTTACATGAGAAACATAGGAAATCTTTTGGCAACCAATAAAATGGGTCATTTTAGAGAAACGACCAACCACAACAAAAATAGAGTCATTACCCCTAGCTGTTTTTGGCAACCCCAACACAAAATCCATAGTAATATCAGTCCATGGTGCTTCTGGTATGGGTAAGGGAAGATACAAACCTGTATTTTGATGCTGCCCCTTAGATGTTTGGCACTTGTGACATCTATCAACATAATAGAACACATCCTTTTGTAGCCTTGGCCGGAAGTACCTTTTGGAGACCATTTCAAGTGTCTTCTTGTCACCAAAATGTCCCTTGCAATGCAAATCAGCAATGAGTAATGCCCTCAAGGATTTTGATGGAATACATAACCTATTGCCCATGAATAAGTAACCATCATTCCACACAAACTTGGCTCAAATGTCCTTGTCACCTGCTGTATAGCTTCTACAAATAGGGCCAAAATAAGGGTCATCTTGGTATTGGTCTTTGATGGAGCTGAATCCCACAACATTAGTAGACATTGTTGACACCAAGTGAACTCTCCTATTAAGAGCATCAGCTACCCGGTTTTTCTGTCCAGCCTTATGCTTCAAAACAAAATTATATTTTTGTAGAAAGTCAACACATTTAGCATGTCTTCCCTTTATCTTCTGTTGGGAGTTAAGGTGCTTCAATGCTTTATGGTCTGAATACAACACAAACTCCTGTTGGATGCCTCCAAAACTTCAGCGCTTGCACAATGGCATAAAACTCAACATCATAAGTGGAATACCTCCTAGCATCATTGAGTTTCTCACTAAAGTAAGCAACTGGACGATCTTCTTGGCTAAGGACAGCTCCAATCCCAACATGGGATGCATCACATTAAACTTCAAAGAGCTTGTTAATATCAGGTAAAGCCAATAAGAGCCTTTGTCATTCTCATCTTTAGCTCTTGGAAGCTTTTCTCAGTTGCGGGAGTCCAAGTAAACTCACCTCCTTTCAAGCATTCAGTAATGGGTGCCACAATAGTGCTGAAATTCTTTATAAACCGACGATAAAATGTTGCTAGCCCATGGAAACTACGAATTTCAGTTAAGGTCTTTGGTGTTGGACACACTTGAATAACTTGAACTTTTTCTTGGTCCACCTCAATCCCCTTGGATGAAACAACATACCCCAAAAACACCAACTGACCTGTCATAAAATTGCACTTCTTCAAATTTATATATAGCTGGTTTTATCTCAAGACTTCTAGGATTGCTCTCAAGTGTTTTAAGTGGCTGTCATGATCTTTGCTGTGGATGAGTATGTCATCAAAATAAACTACCACAAACTTCCCCATAAACGGCCTTAAAACTTGGCTCATGAACCTCATAAAGGTGGTAGGAGCATTAGACAACCCAAATGGCATAACCAGCCATTCATAAAGACCTTCCTTAGTCTTGAATGCAG